ATCCTTTTCACATACCAGAGATCAGGGCAAGTATTTTACAGTTAGAATCTAATCCCCATGATGCTTTACAGCAGATGCAATAAATAAAATCTGTAAAATAGTGATTCCTTTTATACATGAAGGAACTGAGGTGCGCGAGATGGGATAGAATCTAGAGCTCTGGGAGGAGAATTAGCACAAGTAACCCTTCCATTTTCATGGGGGGACAAGGGTAGGGGGCTGGGATGGATGTGGGTACATATATTTGTAGCTGGGGGCTAACATGGCTTTAAGGAGGTTGGGCTTAGGGCGCCTGGATGGCTCAGTCGTTAAGCGTCTGCCTTCGGCTCAGGTCACCATCCCGGGGTCCTGGGATCAAGCCCCGCATCGGGCTCCCTGCTTGGTGGGGAGCCTGCTTCTCCCTCTCCCACTCCCCCTGCTTGTGTTCCCTCTCTCGCTGTGTCTGTCAAATAAATAAAATCTTTAAAAAAAAAAAAAAAAAAAAAAAGGAGCTTGGGCTTGGGAAAGCAAAGCGGCAGATTTCAGTTTATTTCCTAGCTCAGTTTTAACAGTTTCAGGAAGTGAGAGCTTCTTTGAGTTTGTTCCCTCTTATTTAAAATGGGGATAATAAGAGGATTGTAGGATAATAGTTTGCTCATTGTGAGTCGAGTCCATGTGAGTATACTTACAATGCCTAAACACTCCCTTAGGTAATGGGCGACAAAGACTTCTGTGACAGGTGGCAAGCAAGAGGCACAGAGGACGAGGCAGATGCAGGTGGTGAGCGAAGGGCGAGAAGTGCTGAGGCCTGGTTGCATGGGAATGCATTATAAGCCACAGTGCTTGCCAGTCGCGAACCTGAGCCTGGAATGTTTCTGAAGGACCACATCTGATTTATGTGGGAGAAAAATACAGTAACAGTGTGTAGGATGATTGGCAGTAAAAACACCATTTATAGGTAGCATAGTCCAGCTGGAAGAAGCTCTACATTGCATTCAGAACTAAACTTGAATTAGAATTCTGTCATTTACAGGCCGTGGATCTTAAGGCAAGGTCCACTTCACAGCGAGCCGAGCATGACTTTTTAATCTTTTATAGCCCTCATCTTTCTCAGCTCTAAAATGTTGCTGATGCCAATTTCGATGCCTGTGGGGAGTTACGAGATGATGTATAATGTCTGGTTGGTTCATGGTAGGCATCCCCCTAAGTAGTGGTCTACACGAGAGCCAGTGGGGTCAGCCGCCATCTTATGGGGCCGCCCATTGATTCTTCTCTTCCTAAGGAGAAGAATCTTCTCTTCCTGTGTCCTGCTCCCTGCTGTATTAACTTTTCCCTTGATATATTCAGTTATGCGTTACTGTTGAGTTGTATAAACCAGTTGTTTGGCACTGGTGATAAAAGGAAAAGTAATTGTCAGATTTTCTGGGAGCTATCTGATAATTCGTTTTTGATCAAATAGCTGTGGAATGGTAACAGAGCCAGGTGTTTCCCTCTGGAACATAATGGGAGATTCTTCTTTTACGTGTCACAAGGGTTTTTGTTCAAATAGAACATGACTCCCAGTAGTGAACACATAGGCATTCTTCCCTGAAAACTGGAAACATTTTTCTGGAGATTATGGTAGAATGCACTTTCTAGACTATTCTACTGTTTGTGATGGAGACAAAAGTACAGTCCTTTCCTTTCCTCTGACCCTAATTGGCAGGAAAGAGTTTAAGTGCAGGGTGAGTCCCTCACGGGGTTTGGTGTCATTTGGTGCTCAGCACCGTGCAGGTAGATGTAGTGTGTGTCATGGACAGGGGCGTGGGAGCCTCAGCTCTTTATCACCTCATTCTGTCCAACCCTGTGAAAGGCCACCTTTCTGAACCTCTGCTTCCTCAGCTGTGAAGTCTATAGGATTGCTGTAAGGACAAAGTAAGCATGGTAAGATGGAGAGTGCCAGACAGGCCCGGGCACCTTTTTAGGACCTCAGTATTTATTCTCTATGTACCCAAACTGAAGTTTGTCAGAATCCCTTTTTTCACTTGGGGCTTGCAACAGTACGTCCTAGAGAATGCTACAATTAATTAAATGAAAAGTTGAACTAACATCTAGAGCCATTATATATGTGGTATTATTATGAAACTAAGTTTGTATTTCAACAATGGGTGTGAGTATAATGTAACTGACCTTTTAAAAAATGTGAATTATCTTGAATACTCTTAAAGATAGCATGCCTTTTAGGTAAATCCTACTTAGAGATAAAACCAAGCTATGCAGAGACAAGCTTGGTAAAGCTTGAATTGGAAGAAGTTGATTATAATCCTCACTTTTATCTGCTGGGTGTGATCACACAGTAACAGGAAAGCAGGTTCATAGTGCCTTGTTCAGATTCTAAAGGAAACTACAAGACGTATTTTATCCAAAGGAATGGTGTAATACAGTGACTACTTTGAAGAACAACCAGTTCTATATAGAACTACCTCTTATATTTCTGTATTTTAAATTTAATTCAGTATGATCAATATTAAATAATACATTGTATTGTTCACTTGTGAATCGTATATAGGGGCGCCTGAGTGGCTCAGTCGTTAAGCGTCTGCCTTCGGCTCAGGTCATGATCCCAGGGTCCTGGGATCGAGCCCCGCATCGGGTTCCCTGCTCCGCGGGAAGCCTGCTTCTCCCTCTCCCATTCCTCCTGCTTGTGTTCCCTCTCTCACTGTGTCTCTCTCTGTCAAATAAATAAATAAATAAAATCTTTAAAAAAAAAAGTATGTAGTGATTCACTTAAATATTTTATATTTGTTATATATTTTATATGAATATATAATTTCAGAAATACATTTTATATAAGTATTTTTAATTTTACTTAAACATCAAAGTTCCTCAAATTTTGTGGATAAGTGAATTCATTTGCATTGTTATCCTTGGTTTTTTTTTTTCATCTTCCCTGTCAGATGGATAGTGGCTATAACACACATAATTGTGGAAGCAATATTATGGATACGGTTGGAGCAGATAGTGATGCACAAACCTTGGAAGTTGAGAATAAATCTCAAGTTTTTAATACAAAGGTATGGAAAAAACAGAGAAAGCTTGATATGGTTGTCTAAGTATTTATTTAATATGACTTTTTTCATGGGCACCTGGATGGCTCAGTTGGTGGAGCATGTGACTTGATCTCAGGGTTGTGAGTTCGAGCCCCACCTTGGGTGTAAAGATTACTTAAAAATAAAATCTTTAAAAATGTTTTTTTTTCCCCAGTATTTTTTCCACCCATTTTGCTTAAAATTTTAATTATGTTTATGCCTCATCCTATTTTCAGTTAACAGCAGATGGTGGTTTTTAAATCAAAACACTTCTTTTTCCTAAATAACTCTTTGGCTATGGGACAGGTTAAGAGTCTGGAGAGGGAGAGCTAGTCCTACTTTGGAATAGGCACCTGAACTCCTTTTCTTACAGCTAAAGGGGAATAGGAATAGGGGTGCCAAGACCGTTTTTTTTTTTTTGCCTCTAACATTGTTTCAAAGTTAAAATTAAAGAATTTTAATTATTAGAAAATGATACAACTGAGAGACCACACATCAAAGTAAGAACTCTCAAAGGTAAGGGCTCTTTTCTTAAAATCCAAAAGCCTTTTAAGACTATGAATAACATACCTTACCTACTAAGTATTTGTACAGAGGTATACTTTTGACTAGGACATTTACTGTACCTTCTAGGTAGGATGGTTATAACTATATATGCATATTTGAGGAAAACCGGTCATAATTTTAGGCAGTAATCAGGAGACTCTTTGATTTTTATATGCCAATCTGTTTACAAACACAATAAACAGCAGCAAGTGTACAACTGAACAGAACTCTCTCCAGGTGAATATAAGATATAATATGAAGGCCACCTTAATTTCCTTTTCCTCCATTTTGTTGAGGTGGGATTATAGTTCATTTAAAAGTAAGCAAGCATTAGGGTATAGGAAAAGGACTTTTCAATGCAGAATATTGATTTATAGAAAACCCTATCTTCACTGTCCCTTTAGAATTCATAAGGAAATCTGCATTCAGGTTTTAAAACATGGTAGCTGCACCCTTGAATAGTCCTATTCAAGCAGCAACTATTTTCTTTTTTCCCCACAGGAAGACCGTGTAACACAGAGGTGTTGAATGAAAACAGCAACTCCTCCTCAAAGCAACAGTCTATAGAATACCTCTCAGAACCAAAGACCATCACTCAGTGGCTCCTCACATAATTTTTTATGCACAGGATCAATAATGTGATTGTGATTGGGAAAAAGTTGCTTCAACTAACGTGCTTAGCTTTTTTTTCTTTCCCCACTTAATGTGAAAAATCAAGGGCTTAATTTAGTGACATGGCAACAACAGAAAAGCTCCTAGAACTTTCAACTCATTGAAGTACAACTGTATTTTTTATTAATAAATATTTTTGTACTTACCTGGATTGATGTGTTTAACAATAACAAGTTTGAGAACAAGGACTTTGCTCCTATCCCACAGGGTCAGTGAACTGCCTATTAGTAAACCTTATCAACAGCACTGAAGTTAGCAGTAGTTTTAAGAATATGTGGAATTGTGAGGGTACTATTTTATTTTACATAAAAACGTGACTATACAGATGAATTTATAACCTTTGTGAAAGAAATAAATCTTAGATATAAAACATTAAAGAGGTAGGAAGGAGATTAAGCAGGTTTCCAGAATTTTTCATTCTTGATTCGTTCATTTCTGTGTACAAATTCTTAGCTCCAATGGTAACTCTTCTAATTACTACTTCTAAAAATGTAAATACTAGAAAAGTAGTACTCACAGCATCTTAATATCACATATTATTAGTGGGGTAAGCATGGGATGCCCAGGATATATCTCCACCCCTAGGGTAGGGACATCCTTTTCCAGCTCAAATTTGGCTGGGGAGAGGAATAAGCACCTGGGAGAACTAAGAAAACCAGTGGGGACCAGGCGACAGAGTGTCTGTAGGGCTAAATTTAGGCCTTTTATAAAGTTAGGGTTGGGCAGACACAAAACTAGTTTTTTTAAAATGTTTTTGTTCATGTTGGGAGTATAAGTGATAAATACATTTTTTAGAAATATTCTTTACCTCTAGAGAATGCATATTCATATTTACAAACCACCTTTTAAAAATTATCTCCTTCAAAAGGGAGGAGTAATTCATATGCAGCCCTAGGAAGTAATAACATACTATCATTGTGTCATTTTCTTCCTTTTTTGCACCTTATAACTTTACTGCTAGTCTGTAAAGACCTTTTCTTCCTGTGTACCTGACTCATCATCTCCCCCAGCGCACTAACCATTAAAGCTGTTAGTCACTAGGTCCACTGCTAAAGACACTCCATTATGAAGTTGAGTGAGTCCCTAATCACACAGGCTTCAGGATCAATATAAACTTAAATAACTGCTATGCTATAAGAGGAATTCTAGTTCCTAAAGGTAGGAGCTTCCCTGGCTATGTCTTTTTGATAGCACAAGTCAAAAAAACAAGAAAGTAGTGATTACAGTTTGGATTCAAATCCATCCTGTCACTTACTACTTGATCTGGGCCATAAAACCTTAATCTTCTCATCTAGTAAATGGGTGGGGGTGGAGAGAGTCTTACCCAACAGGGCTTTTTGAATGTAATAGTCCATGTACGCTGCTTAGCATAAAAACTGGCATTAGAAGCATTTTAGATTACTGAGGACTGAGGCTCTGGGTAAAAATAAGGATTCTGGTCATCTTGACCTTGCCTGAATTAGACCTTCCTCATAAATCAGAGACAAGAAAACAAACATGGAAAGATAGGTGAGCCACTGCCTTGTTGAACCAAGAAACCTCCCTTTCCTTCTGTTGCCAGTAAACTCTGGGCTGTCAGCAAAGGATTTTTAAATGGTGGGGAGGTAGAAATCAAATGGGTTTTGTGACACATCAAAGTTCTCAAATTTGAATTTTCGTTGGAATGGAGCCATGCTTGCTTCCATCCTGTCTGTGGCTGCTTTCACGCTGTACAAGGAGAGTTGAGTACTACGGTTGTAACCGAGACTGCTGAGTCTAACATGGCTGGTCCTTCACAGAAAAGGCTTGCTGACGCTTGCTCTGGCGTGGTAGCCCGTTACTTGGTCCCAAGACCACTCAAAGTTATCTTCGTTCAACTGGAACAAGTTCTGCCTCAAGATACGGATGTTTTCCTCAGTAGTAGGAAACTGGAACAATCACTTGATCTCTGAGGGCCTAAATGACTGGACACATGGTCATTATTCCCACTCAGTAGACCTGTTTATTTATTTGCTGGTCCTTTCTCACTGGACTGCAAGCTCCTTCAAGGTAGAGAGAGTTTACTTGACTCCGTGATGAGCCTGGTACATTGCAAGTACTTTAGAAAATGAATAAGCAAAGTAAAATGTTGTAACTATCTCAAAATATTCTTAAAAAACAATGATTACTAATCTTTGTGATGAACAAGGCATACCAAATCATAATATTTACTTCAATCTATTCCCTTTAATATGTCCTTACAGAATCCCCCCTTTCCTACAAAACCTGATACATACACAGTTTAAAAGCCGTTCATGACCTACTTTTTATAAATAACATGATGCAGACGTTTAAAAAAGTGCCATCTCTATTTGCTCTTTGAGCCCTAATGCCTTATTTTGGGGGAGATGTGAGCTTAAAGGTCAAGGATGATGATGATCATACTTATTATCTGGTAGTAAAAAAAACTTTATAGTCAGCTCAAATATCCTTCTTGCCTTCCTACAACATTCAGTTCCCAAACACAGCTGTTGAAGGACCACTTAATAAAAAATGCAGGAAGCTTTTAACAGGGAACACTTCATACCAATTAGGTAAATTAAAGATGGCAAAGGACTGAATATTCTTTGACAAATCTTGATGTCATTGTCTTGAAATCTAAAAACTACTGTATCAAACATGGACAGCTTTCAAGATTTAGAAAAAACACACTGTTCCTGACTTTTAAAAATGTTCTATTTTCCTCCACAGGAAAATGATAGTTTTTTTCTATCAATATTAAATAATCAAATTACTTAAATTAACTGTTCTTTAGTGAGCAGATGAATGCTCCATTTAAACGATCTTTACAGATCCCTGAGGTTGCTATCTTGTCACTATTTCAGTGATGGATATTCAATTGAATTTTTATGCATAATTAGTTCAGTTCAATCTAGAAATGAAGTACCATGATGGGACAGACACAGTCAACAAACAGGTCAATAAAAATGCAAATTTTTAAAACTGTTACAATGTATTTAAAAGTAACAAACTATCACACACTTCCTAGGTTTAAAAGCTTCTCTCAAGGTTTTTTGTTTTGGGTTTTTTTTTTTTCGTTTTTTTTTTTTTTAAGGAAACCACTCTTCGAAGTTTTTTTGTTGACTGTAGCTATTTCTCACGTTTCTTCTTCTTTCTCTCCGGTTCATCAATGTCCATGTTTGGATTATCAGCCGAAATGCTTATTCCTGGTATCTAAAGCAATGCAAACGGAAAGATAAGATGAGTAAAAGCATAAAATAAAGAATAAATCTCATCTTCTCCATCCCCACTGACACTTTCAAGTTTAAAATGATGTCGAGGGAGAGAAGGGGAAAGGAGGTTAGTAAACGTCTTCCACACAAAGTATACATACTTCACACATAAATAGTGGTTCAAAAATGTAAAAGACACAGTCTCGATGGGTGGGAAGCATGTCATTTGGAAAGTGTGGTTTAACCAGAACACGCCCAGTTTATCCTAGCTGAGCCACTGTGACAGTCAGCATCAGGGGCCTCAGTGTGTTGGGGCAGAAGGTTAAGAACTAGTATCTTAGGGTGAAACATACTTAATCTTTAAAAGTACAGATTTCAAAACTGATAAAAGTGAAAAGGGACCAGGGAGGAGATCTCAAGACAGCTCTCTGCCTTTGGTACTGAGGACCTTTTCCAAAAAATCCCAAATGTCTGGGATCCCACAGCCTAGGGAAATTGGTGAGAAAATAGAATTTGCTATGCAAATATCTGGCTCCCACACTACTTACAAGATTTCTCTATTCTTGAACAGAAAAAACTTATATCCTTCTCTTTCACACAATATATACCTTTTTTTAGACCATTACAACATGGACAGTGAAGTTTGGTCTTACCTGTGGTTCTACCAGGGACATTCGGATTTTCTGATGCTGAAGATTGGATGAGTCTAGCATGATTTTCACTTTAACTTTATCAAATATATGAAACACTGTATCCTCTATTTTAAGGGAAGGTATCTAAACAAAACACATTTTACAATTTTAAACTGCTGTCTTGAGGTTTCACATTAAAAGTCTAAGTTTAAAAAATTATTTCCATATTTAATAAGCATCTAGGTGTGCAGTATTACAAAAACCATTTACCTAGTAACTTCACTAACATATGACCTATTTATGTGTATACTTCCTCCGTTCAGTAAGATGGTCCCAATATATATGTTCATTAATCTCAAGATTCTCACCCCATTAATTAGCAAATTGTTGGTCTACCAGAGGAAAAGGTACTGTGGGCAAAGTTTGCTGTTTTGTAGTTCTATTAAAGTTAGGGAAGTAGAGATTGTGTCAGACAAGAAACGTTGGAAAGAGGCTTAAAAAATTCCTCTGAGCTCTAAGCAGCCATTTATTCCTTTACTTTCATGCATCTGTCCAGTTGTGCAAAGCATAATTCAAGTTTTCCTTAAAAGAGGAAACTACATGGTGTAAAATAAATCAAGGACAACATCTGTATGTGGGAAGATACACTGAAGTGAGAAATTATGAACAGAATAAGCTTATTAGTCTGTGCAATTAAGTTTGTAGGATGCAAAAAATAATTTTATCCTTTCTACGTACCATCAAAGAAAAAGTACCCCTTCCAAAAAAACCCCAAATAAAACCATTAAAAATACTGTACCTCATCATCATAAATAAGCCTTGGCTTTGGTTTGTCCTTTTCTTCAAAAAAGACGGTACCTTCTAAACCATACTTTGGAATTAACACCACAATAGCATTCTTTCTTACAAATAGAATATAGGCTTCTTCACTTACTATTCCTTTGCTTTTGAAAAACAACTGTAAAATAACATATAGCCTTATCAAGGATTGTCTTAACAATATTTCTGAAATTAACAAAAAGTATTTTGAAATTAAACTGAAAGTGAACAAAACATCATCTCCCCTAACATTACTGACGGAAGGCAAATACCTGGGTATGAAAAGCCACTGATGCACGTTGGGCATACTGAGCCATTTTGTGCCGGAAGTTGAGATTTTTACATAAATCTGCAAGCTTGTGTTTGTCTGTCAACTCTGGATACGTACAGTCGGCCCCAATAGCCACAGCCAACAACCGATGCACGATGATGTCTGCATATCTAGATACATGAAGGACAAATAATCATACTATGTTGGCATTAAAATAGCTTTTTACAATTCAAAATTATTTTCTATCTCCTATCATTTTATAAGGAAAAAATACCTTCTGATGGGTGAAGTAAAATGTGTGTATATGGGCGATGCTAAGCCGTAGTGATGAAAATCATTGTCCATTCCAGAGCAGAAGTACACGGCCTGCATCATACAGCGAGTGGCTAAGATCCTTAAGAGAGTGTTGACATACGGAAAAGTCCGAGAATCTGCCCGGTCCAAAGAGTCAGCCAAGGACTTGGCTGTATCAGTTTTAATTTCCAAATTCTGAGAGTAAAGAAGAAGGAAAGCACACCCTATTAAACATTTTAAAATCAGTACCATGGTGTCTTCAAAATACAACAAATCAAACAGAACAAATATGGTGTTTTTGACCAGGTAATAAGTATTTACATCTTTTGTCCTTAACCTAGGAGAACTAAAAACAGCTTATAAAAAGTCATGATTGTTTTGTGTAACATCAAAGCTTAATATTTTCTGAATGTGTCTAAAGGTACTGAAGTAACATTCTGAAGAAGTTTCCAAGGGGAAAGGATGGTGGTAGCTGTAGTGCAATTCTCAAAGTCCAATATGTGCTTGCCTGTTCTTTGCTGGGGTACAGGAAAAAAATCAAAGCAGATCTGGGTTCTTTCTAGCATGTGTGGTTTTCCTCTGCAGATATTTCTTTTTTTTTTTTTTTAAAGATTTTATTTATTTATTTGACAGAGAGAGACACAGCTTGAGAGGGAACACAAGCAGGGGGAGTGGGAGAGGGAGAAGCAGGCTTCCCGCTGAGCAGGGAGCCTGATGCGGGGCTCGATCCCAGGACCCTGGGATCATGACCGGAGCCGAAGGCAGACGCTGAACAACTGAGCCACCCAGGCGCCCCCCTCTGCAGGTATTTCTTTACCTTCCATTCAAGGTAGAAGTAAAGGCCAGAGGCAAAATAAAACTCTATTGGTCACTATTGACCAATTGGTTCTATTTTGGGAGATGAGGCAAATATACCTAGATCCTCCTTGCTCTACCCAGATCTTAGGAAGAAATAAGATAGTAGGAGAAAATTCCCCAATTTACAGTGTTAAGCCTTAGAGCAGAGGAGAAGTTGATTCTGTTCTGATGGATAGGGGTAGTAGGCCCACCATAAAGATCTGAAAAATCAGAAACCAACATCATTCTGGTAGAATAATACCCTGAGACCCCACACTACTTCCAGCTCCTCATCTGGACAGGAGAGATGGGACCTGAACGAGTGATCCAAAGAAAACCAATGTAAGCCACAGTCACCACAAGGGTAAGGGTAATTATGCCTAAATGAGGGGGAGGATACGGTAGCCTTCCTATGTTTTTCCTTTTCCCCAATGTATGCAATAAATGGACTTCTTTCTTAGGGACATGATATAAAGAGGGCTTAACTGAGTTAAAGTTAAATTAAAATATTTCTAAGTCTCTGAAGTTAGGCAGTTCAGAGGACGCATGAAAGAACATGTATAAAGGCAAAGAGATGTGGAAGAGCTTCATATGTTTAGGATACTGCAAATACCTTAGTGTGGAACTTCTGGTTGTAGCACAGGGTGCTCTCCAAAGACATTAAAGGATTTTATTCAGCAAATGATTTCAATGACTGTATCCAAGTTGATTTTTTTTTCTTAATCAAAAGTACTACTAGCATATTTTTGCATCAAAAAACAACGGAAACTTTCATGCAGATGCAAATATAGATTGTTTAGTACAGTGGACAGATCACAATTCAAATACAGATGATTTTGCAAACTATGCAACCTTACTTTGGATTTAGCTGCCTTAACCAGAATTTCGTAATTTGACGGAGGGGGAGCTGGGTGTTTTCGAAGCAAGGCATGTTCTGAAAATTCTTCATGAATTTTTTTTGCAACAGAGATATTCGCCAGTAACATAAATTCTTCCACCATAGAATTTGTTTCCCTGCCAAGGGAGAAATCATTAAGTAAGGAAAAAAGATTCTGAGACTCTTATAGATCACATTTATTCCCAGGCTACCTTTGCTACCAACGAAACAATAAAAGTATTTCCTACGTAAACATCTGTATGCGTGTGTGCATGCGTATATTTTTCATAACCTAACACTCTTTCATTTCTCAGCTGCTATGCTGACAATCTCTCACTATGCATCTACTGCATGAGTAAATCTCATGCGAGAGACTTTTAAATTGCATTTAAATAACAGAACCTTTACTAACTCTAATAATATATAAAATCTAAACCAAAAGAATTTTCACCTTTTATTAAATCTAAAGAGATTTTTACTTAACTATAAATCCATAAAAATAAAGTTTACTAATAAGAATGAAAAGCTACTTAGGTCATACAAATTTGGGCTTAAAAAATTAAAATTTTCACCAATAAATCACCAAAATGAAGAAATTATATTTGCAATAGCTATTCTAGGTATTTATTATTGGCCTGGCATTGCACTATGCCGTAAAATATTGATCTGTATCCATATAGAGAAAGATGTATGTTAGTCCTGTTTTGCAGATGAGAAAACTAAGAATGTGTAACATTATTCTCTTGCTCAAAGTTGGAGTTAGTAGTAACAAGACCCAAGCCCACATAATTGACTTCAAAACTCTTAACCAATTTGATATTGCTCTTTATTCTCTATAGTCTATGTCTATTTAAAACTTAGGTTAGTCAATGATCTGTATTCTGTTGTAAATTGTACTTTCTTTTTCCCAAGTCACTGAATGGGCATTATATTAATCTTTAAATCAAGTTTCATTCATCTTATAAACTTCTTGACTAGATTCCTAAAGTACATTAATTTTTTAAATATTAGGAAGACCTCCAATCATACCTTTAAGACTAAAGACAATCTTAGAAATGTGTTGTCTTCTTCTTGGTAAGAAGGGGCGATGTTCTACTTTGACAAAGTCAGATTCGACATTTTCCTCAAAAAACCTCTTCATATTAGGCTCACTGTTCACATTAACATTATCTTTATTTATATAAAAGTTCTCCCAAAAGTATTTTTTAATTTTAGCTCTAATAGCCTTATTATAAAGCACACACTGGTCCTAAGAAATTTGAGTATATTCTCATTTTTAACTCTTGGTCATCTACTAAGAAAAGTGTAAATGCACATTCATTTTAGAATTACCTTATAAAAGGCATGGAAAAGAGGCCTAACTGATTTAACCAAAAACAGCTCTGCTTCCTAAATCTCAACCAAATCAATACAATGGTACAACAATAACTCATCTGAGCACTCTTCACAACACCCAGTGATGTAGGTACCATTATCAGTCCTATTTTACAAACAAACAAACTGAGGTGTAAAAAAGTCAAATTACTTGTCTGGAATTATTGGAAATGGGATACAAACCAAGGCAGTCTGGCTTTAAAGCACAAGGTCTTGTACATATTTGTACACTACGCTCTTCTATATTAAATACTTAAGAAATTAACCAGGGCAATCTCTTATTTACCACAACTATTACTAGTCAAGTTCTAATACACCACACATCAAGACCAATTCAAATTGGAAATTATAATACTTCTCAGTTTTATATAAGAAAAACTAAAAAACAAAATCACATTTACTTCTCTCTGTATATCCTAACTCAAAAAGATCTACTAGAAATCTAGTAGATCTATTAGAAATAGGTATTTGGGGTACAAATATGTTTTGTTTATTAATATATATACTGAATATTACATTTAAAATAAAAATCCTATCTACAGTCCAGCAAAAATTTACATACCTAAGTTCTTTGGTCTGCAGATCTATAGGATCATGAGTTTCACTGTCCATGTGGAATCGAACTTCTGGAGAAGAAAGAGTCAAAGCCCTAAATAAAAATTAAAGATGTAAATTTAGTGAAGTGAGCGAATAACAGATATCATTCTGGAAGTGATGCTTTTAAAAGAAAAAATGATGATAGCAAGTGAGTAATAGTTTTTCTTCTGAAGGCTTTAAGACCATCTGCTAAGTTTTATGTTCCATTTTCATTGACAGCTTTGCATCTTACACATCTAAAATGCATTTAAAAAGAGAGGACAACAGGGGCACCTGGGTGGCTCAGTCAATTAAGTGTCTGCCTTCAGCTCAGGTCATGATCCCACGGTCCTGGGATCGAGCCTTGCGTCAGGCTCCCTGTTTAGCGGGGAGCATGCTTCTCCTTCTCCCTCTGCCTCTCCCCTCCACTCGTGCTCTCTCTCTCTCAAATAAATAAAATCTTTAAAAAAAAAAGAAAAGGGGGGGACAACAGGTGTTAACACAACAAAATATGAGTCCTTGTACTTCTGAGAATTTGAGTATGCTCTGTACCCAAACTGAGTTTTTACTGAACTACATGGGTTTGTAATCACTTTTATAAATAAAGAAGGTAACTTGGCAGAGTTTTATTTATTACAGAAAACAATGTATTGGGGTGAGGGATGATGGAGAGAGAGGCAAAAGGGAAGCTGCCACACATAGGTAAGTAGCATCAGAAGATCCACAGTTCAAAAGTATGTCCACATTCGCTGAGCCAGCAAAGAGACTGATAAACTACTACCCTGGTATGTACACACACTGAGGCTACTGATATGGAGTGCTACGTGTCAGATAACATACTAGACTACGTGCTTTACAGGAATGGTTCACTTAATGAGTTCCCAAGTTCTCCTGTGAAAAGTAAATTCCAACAAGGCGAGTGTGAGGTTTCTTCACACCTCCATGCTATTTTCATCAGGTTAGCTTCAAACCAACTTAAAGAATTTTAATGAAGTTGAGTAACCCTAAACAATCATGGAGAAGGGGGGAAAGTGGAGAAAAAAAAGATGAGATGGTGCAAGCTAATTCTTCACCTTTTCCCTCAATTCTTCAGCTCTATTAGAACTACCAAAGGAATACTAGACAGAGAATCTTGACAAATATTCCTTTCTTGCCATGCAGTCTTTACAAGATTCTACACTAGATTTAGTCTGTTTATCAATACATCTGACCTAAAAAGCAAGGTATAGTAATCACATTTTGATTTTTTTCTTCATAAAACACTTAAAATGTTACGTCTATCCATGACCTAACATTTATCCTTTAAGATAGACATAAAATAAATGTAAAACAGAACATATCCTTTAAGAAAGTAAAAAATACCAATTTTCTTACTGATTGTTTTTTCAATTTTCACCTACGGCTGAGAAGACTCAATGACCTGTCTTTACCAGTACACGACTATCTAGTTACAAAATTAAAAGTAGAGACAGTTTTTGAAGTTAAAAATTATCTTTCCCTTACTAATCAGGAGAGGCTAGTTACTAATGCAAATTTCTCTTACCATTTAAAACTACCAAAATAAAAATGTTTTCAATTTGCATTTTATTCATTTTGCTTTTAAAACAAACTTTCTAAAAATATCTTCCACAAACTTTCTTCTGATGTCTTGCATACTGTAAACCTTTGATGAACAAACACTTGCTGAAAAATGTTTTGTGTCCTTTTTAGTTTCTTTGGGTTTAACGCATCCAAATTATCCTTACACAGCTGCAAGTTTTATATTTAGGATCACATTGAATATTCCCAGAAAACTGACCTGTGGGTAGAGATAAAGATGGCTCAGCGTAACTACCTGGAAGAACGCGGTCCAGTGGAACTTTCTGCAGTGATGGAAATGTTCTCTATCTCTACACTGTCCGATATGGTAGTCACTAGCCGCAAGTGGCTACTGAGCATTTGAAATGTGGCTAGTGTGACTCAGGAACTAAATTCTTTATTTTTTTTCATTTTAATGAATTTTAATTTAAATAGACAATAGGCACATCTTCTCAAAGGGCACAGATCTAGAGTTTGTACTCCCCAACAAAAGCACTTTTAGTAACCACCTGTGACCCTACCCTGGATGGACATGGGAACCCAAGACCAACATCTGAAAGGTTCATGTACTTGCTTTGCTCTGATAGTTGACGATGTCTTAAAAATCCAAATTTCTTTTAACTACTTTACTTCAACAAGTTTGGGGACTTGGATATTCCTTATCTTCTACTACTGTAGCCAGGCAAACCCCATGATATCATAGCTAAAAGACACCCGTCGCTACTAGCTGTCAGATATCAGACCTTTGGCAGGACTGCTTCTGTGTAACTTTGAATCATTTAAAAAATGAAGGTGTCTAAAATCGCTTCAAACTCTCAAGTGGAAGAAGTTCATCTACATTTATTAAATGTCTGAAAACCAATGTTCAATATTCTAACTAAAATTAGAAACAATCCATAGAAGTCTTAAGGAGCTCTTGCCTCCCTTGAAATTTTCTCTAAGATCTTTAACTCCTTAGCATAATAAATTACATAGACAGAGCTAGAAGAAAAAGAATGTCTCTGCCTGCCTTTCTATTCAGCTCATTAAATAATCTGTCATTGTCCAGGATAAAACACTTTGAAGAGTTCACAGGTTATCTTATTACCACAATAAAGACACTTCTTAATAAATATTTTTGAAATATACCCTTTTTCGATTCTTCTTTCTTTCAAAATTTTAGCTAGTTTATTTAGTCCACGGAGACTAGTGGTAATATCATCATTCATGGCTGCAGAATCAATTCTCATCTGAGCTTCAGCATATGTAAGGGAAGCCTAAAAGGAAAACCGTATGTTAATATAATTCTTATAAAAACTGGTTTATAGGGCACCTGGGTGGCTCAGTCGGTTAAGTGGCCCACTCTTGATTTTGGCTCAGGTCATTATCTTAGGGTTGTAAGCTCAAGCCCTACATGGGACTCCATGCTAGGTGTGGAGCCTACCTAAGATTCTCTCTTTCCTTCTTTCTTTGCCCCTCCCTGCCCCCCACTCTTGCACTCTTTAAAAAAAATTTAAATTTTAAAAAAATTCTAAAAAAAAGTAAAAAAAAACTGGTTTAGTGTAATTTCATATTTGCACTACATAAAATCTATGATTTCGGAAAACCTAAAATCATTAAGAAGAGAGTGTCCTAGCTATAATATTTATACTGCAGACCTATGGTTTTGGGTTCATTAATTTGTATCTGATGCATTACACAACATAAGCAAACTTACATTAAAACAAAACAAAATGGGGGTGCCTGGGTGGCTCAGTCTGTTGGGCATCTAACTCTTGGTTTGGCCTCAGATTATGATCTCAGGGTCATGGGATCCGGCTCTGCACTCAGCAGGGAGTCTGCTTGGGATTCTCTCTCTCCGTCTCCCTCTGCTTCTACTCCCAACCCCACACTCTCCCTCTAAAAATAAATGAATCTTTTAAAACAAACAAAATGGTAGCATTTGTTGGTGAACAAATTGCTTAAACTTTACTTTCATAGTTAACAAATAAATACTTAGGTAACAGTAAAATAAAAAGGAAAATTATATTATTCTCTGACAATGACTGTAAAGTGAAATCCTCTCCAGATGATCATTACTTCCTTACTCAATGGCAAATAATTAAGAATACTCTAATAGCCTAGACATCATGTTTTACCGAAAAACCTATGAAATATCCCAAATTAAGTATCTAAAAATGAGACCAATCACAGTAAAAAAGATCCCAAGTAATTTCCAATTATAATCCAAATATACAAATAGTGCTTCTGTTTCTATTTCATACCTTATGGAAAACTACCATTTTTTAGCTTATCAAAAAAAAAAAAGTAGGGGCACCTATGTGGTACAGCTGGTTAAGCATCAGGTTTCGGCTCAGGTCGTGATCTCCAGGTTGTGAGCTCAAGCCCCACGTCCAACTCCGTGCTCAGCACCGAGTCTGCTTGAGACTCTCTCTCCCTCTGCCCTCCCCCTTGCACTCTCTATCTGAAATAAATCAATAAATCTTAAAAAAAAAAAAAAAGTAGCTTCCCAAGTAAAAATCAGGAATAGCATAAGAGGGTTAGATGATGCAGGAGGCCAGGTCAGATTCTTAGGAGAGCAAAGTTATCTACTAGGGACTAAGAGGTCCCCTTCTAAAAATGTTTTCTGTTGTATGTGCACTGAACTTTTTTTCATATAACTTTGTTACACTGACCAAGTCTGGGAGAAAAATAAACTTATCATTTTTAAAAATACAAATCGAGAAAGGCTTAAATCATTCATACATCACTATCTGTCAGTCCAACACTGCTTTCCTTTCCAACCACTAGTTCATCCAAAACTGTTGAAAGCAACTAGATGATGGCAAACCTCTGAGAAAGACCAAAGGCAAAGTGAGAACATAACGGAATCTGGGAAGATTCCATTAAGAGAAGGATGAGAATGTTAGCCTGGTTCCATTCTCTCTGACCTGAGACCTCAGGCTAGTTTTGTTGAAATCCAAGGAAAATTTATGACATCATTTCCCTGAAAATTTGTGAGTATCACAAGATGGTATACATGCCAACTTTGAAAATTCTGACCAGTTTATACATTGGAATAATTTCAAATAGTAGTGTCCCTGAATTAGGGCAAAAAGTCATCTATTTAGTCTGTCCAAGTATCCAGGCTTTGTGAGTTTCTGAATACAAGGCAACTGTATCAAAAATTAAGCAGATAACTGGAAAAAACTAGATCTTGCTACAACATTTGGGAAAAATTTAATTTAGTAAACCTGACTTTTTCAAAACCATCTAGTAACACTGTTAAAAGTACCAAAGATCTTAAACATTTAGTATTAACCATGAAACCAACCTTTGAATTAATGGCACTTTTGGTAAACCTCACTTTTAAGATTTCAGCATTGTGATTCATTTCCCAAATACATGAAAATGCCAACCTATGGGGGAAAGTAGACAGTGTTTGTTAATGGGAGTCCGTTAAAATAGTAGATACTATGTTCTTAGGAAAAAACATGCATAAATACCTGTCAACATTACATCTTAATGAACATAAATTAGAGCTAAGCAACTCTGGAACCATGTCAATCCTCTGGAACAGAAAAAAATAGAGTGGCAGATTACTTAACCATATCCATACATTTATTTGATGTTTTGTTCTCAGTAGCATTAATTTAACAAGGGGGAAAAAGGTCTTTGTGAACAGAACTGAGAAAATAAGAAACAAGTCTATTTCTAGAAAAGTATTTCCACACAACTGTTACAAACAGGACACAACGAGAGGAAACCGGACTTCATGTCAGTGAATCTAAGTGTGCATTCTCTCCACAGCCACCAAGCTGTCCTCCAAGTCTGCAATCTCTGCCCTATATAATAAGTTTGTACTAGATAACAGACATAAGCTTTAACAGTTCTATGACTGGATCCTTCTCTAATGCCTAACGCAAACTACATGGTGTTTTAAACATACTGAAAAAGAGAGCCACAAAACTTTTACAGAAAAAAGCTACATGGAAGAACACTGACAGTGTAGACTAAGTTTAACATTCCCTCCTATTCTCACAACTTTTCTCTGTAAGTTAATGGAAGATTACTTTAAAAAGAAGAAATGGTAAATGATGACAAAACACTCTCATGACTAAACCTTTGAAGCAACAGTAAATACCCTAGTTACCCAGAGCTAGGAAGTTAAATGCTACACAACAATTTATATCAACCAAGTCTACTTGTTATTTGGGCCACTTAATAACCAAACACACTCCATTATTTTCACTGATTTATGACCACCTTCTTCTATGTTGGTCTTTTATAGCTAATTCATGTACTATTCCAGACTATTCAAGAATGCAAAAGTGCCCATGGTTTTTACAATCTAAGAATGCAAAATTCACATAACAGTTATTCCTCATATTTCACCTCAATACTGAGGCTGGAAACACCTTTCTCAGGAAACACCTCAGACGATTTTATTATTAAAAATAAAATGGATGGAGCGCCTGGGTGGCTCAGATGGTTAAGCGTCTGCCTTTGGCTCAGGTCATGATCCCAGGGTCCTGGGATTGAGCCCTGCATCAGGCTCCCTGCTTGGCAGCGAGCCTGCTTCTCCCTCTCCTTCTACGGTTATCCTGCTTGTGCTCTCTTGCTCTGTCAAATAAATAAATAAAATCTTTAAAATAAATAAATAAATAAATAAAATGGATGAGGGAAAAGTTACAAGCATGTGTCAAAATTCCATTTTAAATTTGACCCATGTACCTTTTCACAAAGATACACAGTTGTTCCCCTTCTGGCTGACTCTTGATCCAAAGCATTTCCTGGCCTAATAAAATGGCTAACATCTGCAATGTGAACACCAACCTGAAAAAGATAAAAATAAGAGGATGTCAACATGTTTAACTGGGTAAAGGTACTAATGGAGTTCTAATGAGAAGAAACGGAGCAAAACTGAAAAAGGATGGCCACATTTCCCATTTCAATTTCTGACACACGCCCATTAGTCTCTGTAGTTGCAAGTGGCTAGGCATGAATAATTCACAAATTCTATAATGGGTCCAAAGAAAATAAACTCAAAAGCAGAACTATATATTTGGACACGAACATCACTACAACAAGGATACCTCCACATTTCCACTTTCCAGTTCTCTGCAGTGTAGAGCGTCATCTATGTCAGTACATCCCGGAGGGTCCACACTACAAACACACAGATGTCTCAGGTCTTCTCGGTTTTTCATATCCTAGAAAATGCCACATTGTTAAGAAATAAAAAACTATTTTGGTAGTACAAATGAAACACAGCCCTTAGGAAATCAACAATTTCTCTCTATATATTTTAAAAGGAACTTTGTTTTATTTGTTAATAATAACCACACATTATGATTTGTAACTTGTGGTTTCTTCACCTTTGAATAATTTGATGTAAGCTAGTGTTGATTCCCCAGAAAAATGCATCTTTCAGTAAAATAAATGATTTTTGTAATACCTAAGAGTTCTGTACCTAACTTAAATGCAGGGGAGGAGAGGACTATGGTTTCTGCTTATCTAATTAATTATTTGTAGGCTCCATGCCCAGTGTCAAGCCCAACCTGGAGCCCAGTGTGGGGCTTGAACTCAACCCTGAGATCAAGACCTGAGCTGAGTTCAAGAGTCGGATGCTGCTTAACTAACTGAGCCACCCAGGCGCCCCAGTTTCTACATACTTAAAAACACATACAGAAACCAAGTTAGCTCAGATATAGTAATTTATAACGTGACTACATTCTTTTCAATGTACCTTTTCAGTAATGCTCCAGGGCATCTTTGGAAGAAAGCTAAGAACAGCCTGTGAAAAAGGCTGATGGGGAACGTCATGCTCAAGCAACAAAACTTCTGTTTCAGTCTCTTTATCTCCAACGTCACCTAAGTTTTTTACAAAGTGTCCCTAAAACCAAAAGGTATTATTAGAAAGGTGAATTTTACAGCTTTTTGTTTGGTACATGTTATTACGACATTAAATTTTTAGACATTTATATATCACTTTGGTATTTCTAAATGTTTCCAAAACTTCTTAAAAATGAGTCCATAAAGCTCAAGTGATTTATGATGGAGATGTCCTGAGAGCTCAGTTCTTACATAGCGAAGTGTTGTCTATTTCCTATGACCTTTTAACTTTAAAATGTTACTTCAAATATAGTGGCTTCAGAATTAGTAGAATCTGCTTGGGTTTCAAACACTATTTTTGTAACCACTATCAAGAGTTATTTGTTAGGAAACTTGAGTAAAAATAATCAAATGATTTCCACTGGAATTTCATTAAGATTAATTTTCAGATAAGATGTACTACTTATCAGGTAAGTTTGTGAAATATTCCTATACTTCAGTATAAATTTTATTACAAAAGCAGATTTTATTTTCACTAAAAGAAGCAATTTTATATCCAATTCTTAATTTGATATTCTAAAAAAATATAAATCATTCAAGCTTACATTTGGATATCTGGAATTTCTGGGCCAACCATCAATAGCAACAATAATCCTCCGTCCTTCTAATGCAGAAGCCTGTCTGGTTTCTATTCGAATTCTAGGGATTCTCCTATCAGCAGGGGTAAAGAGATGTCTTCTTGACTAAAGAAAATTAGGAGAGAAGATTTTACACACAGACACACAAATCTGAGGTTGGGGGCATGAGGAGGGCTCTAAGTTCTATTTAATGGGTATCATTTTTTATTTACACAGCAACACACTCTCTACTCACCTCTTTAATATCAGACTTGGAAAGCATGCCACAATATGGTCTCCAATTTCTTTTTATTATTCCTACAACTCTACCTGTGGGCTTTAACATTTTTTCATTTATAGCAGTCTTAAGCTGAGATTTAAAAAGAAAAAGAAAAATCTTCAGTTATTTTTCCTCTAGGTATGAGACAATTTCTCTTTAAAATCAGAATATGAATATGGATACTAATACTTCCACGCAGTAAATTATGACATAGTTACAGAATCCTGATGCTTTCAAAATTCTACATCATAATATGCCAAACCAAGCCATGGAAATAGTTCCATTATAATAATACACTACAAAAACAGATAATGAAAAAACAAAGAAAAAGTATAACTGAATAAATATGTCAGAACGCAACTGTTCAGTTTAAATATGAGAATTTACACACACACACACACATCTAGGAATTAGTAGACTAGGATTTTAGTAGTAGTTTGCCTTCAATATCATGTGGCATTTATTAATTCATTAGAAATACTTCTATCTTTAAAAGTTCTTCCTTATCCAAAACAAAAACCCAAATAAAAAGAGTATTTATTAGAAATAGCTGAAGGACTTTATGGTATTTCATTTCAACACTCTCCTATGGCTTAGACTCTACAAGGATAATACTATAGTAAGACTCCAGAGCACAATGAACAGAATTCTTATAAATAGGAGAACTACGAATGTTTGAATTCCAACTATTTGTATTGTTCTTATAATCCTAAAATTTAGAAATAAATGGGTCATGGCAGGTAGACTTTAGATCTTAAGAAACGACTGAAGGCATTCTCTTCATAATAAATATGGTAACAGAGAACTGACCCTTATGTAAGGGCCCCAAAGTACATCTACTATGCTGATGGAATTTTAACATTACATAAAAATAATGCATAAAATTTCCAATTTGTATTTACCTAAACCTCACTAATTCAGACAAACCTAATTCAGACAGATCATGTACCTGAACGTCAGAATTCAAGTTTCATACTCAAGTTACAGTCTTTCTATATTTAAACCTGTTTATTGAGCAAAGTTATAATTTAAAAGAAGACTATTTAAATATTTGAGGGAAAATAATCAACTATGTGTATGAAATGTATTAAACCCAGAGAACTATAATCTCATTCAGTAAGTCTGAAAGCAGGGAAATTTGTTTAATTTGCTCTAAAGCTAAAACACTAATGAATTCTACAAAGCTACACAGACAAAAGATAAACCTGTTTGGTTTCATACAATGCGTTCTCTCTCCTCTTCTTTTTCCACATCATCTTCATTTTGACCTTCATCATGTAAAACCACAGAAGATGGTGCCACCCACTGATTCTTGGGAAGAAGTTCTATAGCCACAATATCTTCATGAACAGCTCGGTTTAAATTTTTAAGTCCCTGTAAGATTATCTGTGTAAAACAGCAAATGGCACATGCTCAGATATTTTTAATGGCAATATAATAAGGGGAAGATTACCTAACAGAAGGAAAGATATTTTCTGAGTGTGTCTATGTATCTCTATTTCTCCTTTATATTTTTTCTTCTTCTATAGTGTCCCTTTACCCCATCCTCTTAATTTCTCAATATCAAGTAGAGAAAATACGTCAGAAAATACGGGTTGTATTCATGGCTCCACCGTAACTCTTATATTAGCACCAAAAAGACTTTGGGAAAACTTCTCTCTAAATCTCAGGGTCCTAATTGGGTAGAATGAAAAAGAGTACCCACTTTCATAGGCACAGGTGAAGATTAAATGGAATGCAGCATTCAAAGCAGAAAGAAGAGTATCTGGCAAATAGTGAGCACCCAAAAATGATTCCTATTTGCTTTAAAGTGTGTGAAGCCCAGTGGAGCATTTATATGTTATGTAAATAGCACTTTCCATAACTAGCTATAATATAGAAAATAGAGGCATCCTATGATTTTGTTTGATTAGATTTTTATTTTCTTAAAAGTGGGGTAAATAAAAAGTTCTTTTCTTCCATAAGCAGCTCTCTAAGAAAGTGATTCATTCTATTATCTATGACCTCTCACATAACTGCCTTTAAGCTGATAAAGTAGAAGGGTAGAGTAAGTTTAAATTCTCCTACAAAATTTTAAACACTTATGAAAGAAAATCATGAACAGAAACTCATGAACAGAAAGTGTTTCACTGTATATGGAATTTATGAACACAACACTTGCCTCTTTATCTTCTTCAGGGTCTCCATGAACCCATACTGTAGCTTCTAAGTAATTTTCCCTGCTTGCTCTAAATGTTCCTTGAAGGTATGTACCAGATTTTATGCCTTGTTGTAGCTTACTTAAAGGAAGATGCTCTGAAAATATTATTCTTCCACTTTCTATTTCATTCTGTGAAATGAGCAAACCACAAGATGTAGTTAGTATGTAAATCTTCCTTACACTCAGTAGACAACTATTATTATCACTATCAGGTATTTAAAAAAAAAAAAAATCCACAGAGCACCTGGTTTAACTGTTCAACTCTTGATTTTGGCTCAGGTCATGATCTCAGGGTCCCGGGATCACGCCCCACATTCGGCTCTGCACTCAGCAGGGAGTCTGCTTGAGATTCTCCCACTCCCTCTCCATCTGTCCCTCCCCACCCCTGCACACACACGCTCTCTCTCAAATAAATAAATTAAAAAAAAAAAAAAACAAAAGACAAATCATCGTACGATTGCACTCATGTGGAATTTAAGAAACCAAACAGATGAACATATGGGAAGGGAAGGAAAAATAAAGTAAGATAAAAACAGAGAGAGAGAGAGAGAGAGAGAGACAAACCGTAAGAGACTCTTCAGTACAGGAAATGGACTGGGGGTTGCTGAAGGGGAGGTGGGCTGGGGGATGCGGTAACTGGGTGATGGGCCTTAAGGAGGGCACTTGAGGGAATGAGCACTGGGTGCTGTATGCAACTGATGAATCACTAAATTCTACCTCTGAAACTAACAATACAGTATACGTTAATTAAATTGAATTTAAATAAAAAATTTTTTGAAAAACCATCCATGTATGGTACATACAACTCTGTGAGTTTGAGAATACGGCACAGTAGGAAAAAACGCTTTCTATTCTTAGGGCAACTTACATAAATATTTCAATTTCAGTACATTTCGGCATTTAGCCACAGATACGTCACTAATAAACGCTGCACAACCCCTCTTCCCACCCCAGGCCTCCCAGAATGAAGGTGTGTGGTTAGGGAGGTCAGTTAAACAGATGGGTAGGTAAGTAAAGGGTATACTGAAGCTCCAATTCCATGAGTAGAGTGTGGCTACAGAAAGTACAAGAAAAGCTATTTTTATTTTGGATATATTACATAGTTAAGACTAGAAGATAGAAGTAAGCTAGGGACTACCTCAGGTCTACCACACCTGCCAGGATTTTTAGAGGCCTCAACATCCAAAATCCTTACTGCTTTGCCTCCTTTAATTGCCTGCCTTTTTCACTTCCCACCGTCTTCTCCCTTCCAGGGAGATTACTTGAGTCCTTTTTTTCCTTAACTCTCCCATTTCCCTCTCCCTGCCTCACATGAGGGACTGCAATCTCCATACTGAGACTCAAAAGCAGTCACTTAGAGACCTACTTCATCTTCCTGCCACTGAATCTGCCCACCCACCTGCATCTCTATCAAAACCTCAGCCTTCTTTCCTGCAACAATGAATAGAACGTTTCTTTTCTTTCAGCTGGGCACTACCTACCTACCATCTCCTCTCCTCCAGGCAAGAACTTTGTCCTGTAATGATCTTCTCTCGCTCCCTAGAGTCAAATTTCCCCCCACCCCACCCCACTTATTACAACATTCACACCATCATATAAATTTGCAATAACATGACCTATTAAAATAAATAAATATAGTTAATTAATTTGGGGTCTCCTGGCCTGATCCTCTGTTCCACTTCACACCAACATGCCACAAAAATATTGTCTATAATTGCTGTGTGTCTATGTGTTCACCCGCACTCTTTCTGGAATGCACGATAAGCAAGTTTCATTGTCAGTCATCAAAGCTATTGTTATTGAAGCCACTAATAACATATTATCTCAGCAACTTCACTGCACCATTCTCGGTCTTATCAAGATTTTTTAAAATGACCTTTCCTTCCCTGAGACACTTTCGCATCCAAATCATCATTCCTTGGGTTTCTGTCCTACTTCACTGGCAGCTCCTCCTTTAGGTTCCTCTGCCCATTCTCCTTTTCCTGATCTTTAAATGTTGCAGTGTCCCAAGACTTGGTTATAGGCCCTTTTCTTTACCTATGTTTACTCTTGTGTCATTTCCTCCCACTTAAAACAACAACAAAACCTCTTGATCTCTCTTGCTTTCCAACACCTCATTTCTCTCTTTTTCCCACCCCAGCGTTTGAAGTGTTACCATGCTGTAAATTTTCTCTTCCCATTTTTTTCATCTATTCTATTCAGACTTTTGCCTCCCTACCATCAAAACTACTCTGGATAGTACCCATCCCCTGCAAATGTCATAATGCTAAATCCAACCATCAGTTCCCCTCATTACTTTTGACTTAGCAACATTTGACCCAGATGATCACCCCTTCCTCTTCGAAACATTTTCTGTACTTGGCTTCCAAGAACTTCACACCTGTTTTTCCTTTTAGATCGCATTTGCTGGTTCCCCTCATGCTTCTGACTTCTCCTGAAGTACCCACAGGCTGAGCCCTCGGACCTCTTCTCTTTTCTATCTATATCCATTTCCCTACATCAGGGTTAGGCAAACTAAGGTCCACACACCAAGTCCAACCTGCTGCCTGTATTTGGTAAGTTAAGTTTTACATTCCATTCTCCTTCACTTATCTATTGTTGGTGGTTGCTTTCATGCTACAATAGCAGGGATGAGTACTTGTAATAGAGACCATATAGCCTGCAAAGCTAAAAAAAAAAAAAAAAGTTTACAATCTGATTCCTTACAAAAAAAAAAAAAAAAGTTTGCCTAGGAGAAAATATTTGCAAATCACTTATCTGATAAGGAATTTGTATCCAGAATGCAAAAAGAACTCTTATAACTCAATAATAAAAAGACAACCCAATTAAAAACCAAAGGATTTGAAGAGACGTATGCACACATACGCATAAGTTAAAATACACATCTATATATTACATATAACATACATATGGCCAATAAGCTCATGAAAAAATGCTCAATACCATTAGCCATTAGGGAAATGCAAATCAAATCCAAACAACATTGAGATATCACCTGACACTCATTAAAATGATTACAATGAAAAAGACAGACAACATGCATTGGTGAGAAACTGGAACTCTCATACATTGGTGAGGAACTGGGACCCTCATACCTTGCTGGGGGGAATGAAAACTGCTGCACACACTTTGGGAAATAGTTTGGCAGTTCCTCAAAAAGTTAAGTTTAAAATTACCGTAAGATGGAGCAAGTGCTCTCGCACATACCTAAGTATGTATCAAAGAGAAACAAAAACAGTCAAAAAAGACCACATATTACATTATCACACTTATATGAAATGTGCAGAATAGGCAAGTTTACAAAGATAGATCAGTAGTTGCTTGGGGCTAAAGCAAGGGCATTTCAGGGACAGATTGGGATTGAATGGTAATGGATATGGATTTATTTTGAAAGGGAAGAAAATGTTCTAAAATTAGATTGTGGTGATGACTGCATTATTCTGTGACTATACAAAAAATTGTACATTTCAAATAGGTGGGTTGTATGGTATGTGAATTATACTTCAATAAACCTCTTTTTTTAAAAAAAGTCTGCCAATTCCTACCTATATGTTGATGAGATCCAAATTTTTATCTCTAATATATCTATATCTCTAGTCCTAAACTCCCTCATGAGCTACAGATTTGCATATCCAACTACTCATACCATAAAGCCACCGAGAGCTCTAACAGTTACCTCAAACTTAAATGTCTAAAATCATACTTTTGATTTTCCACTCAATCCTGCTCCCTGCCTTCATCCTATGTAAATGAAGCAATACTACTCATATGGTTGCTCAGGCAAAACACCTAAGGTCATCCATATTCCTCACAGCCCCATCCAATCTAACACCAAGCCCTAAAACATCAATGTACAAAACAATACCAATATCTAACTACTTCCCACTACCTTAACTGCTCCTACGATGGTCCACTTTTCTGTCTTGTCTCCCATGGAGCTCTAAAATATCCTCCTAACTGGAGGACCCTGCTTCTAATCTATTCTCTTAGAGCAGCCAATGGATCTTATTCTCCCACTCAACATCTGCCCAGCACTCATGGACTAAAATCCAATTTTTTCACCATGACTCATTATATCCTACATGATCTGGTCCCTGACTATATTTCTGACTTCCTGTGTAACATCTTCTCCCTTGCTTACGCCATCCCAGGCACTCTTCCAGCTATTCCATGATCTTGCCAACTTATTCTATTTTTTGTTTGTTTGTTTTTTTAAGATTTTATTTATTTGACAGAGAGAGACACAGCGAGAGAGGGAACACAAGCAGGGGGAGTGGGAGAGGGAGAAGCAGGCTCTCCGCAGAGCAGGGAGCCTGATGCGAGGCTCGATCCCAGGACCCTGGGATCATGACCCAAGCTGAAGGCAGATGCTTAACGACTGAGCCACCCAGGCGCCCCTTGCCAACTTATTCTAATCTCAGAGCCCTCACTTGCTGATTCCTCTGCATAAAATGCTCTTCCCCTAATTATTACGATGGTTAGCTCCCTCACATAACTCAGCTAAAATGTCCCTGTCTTGAAGCAAATTTGCTTAGTTAACATCCTTCACATCTCTGCCTTGACATCCGAAATCTGGGTTAGGTGCTAAGTACAGTCAGTCCTCCCATAATGCTTGTTTTGAAAACAAGAATTGGTTCCAATGCAACTGCTATATTAAAAAATACTGGGTGAATGCAGAAAACTGCAACTAGCTGAACAAAGCTGCAGAGGAATCCACAAAACAGTCACCTCTCAAACATCTGTCACCCCAGACTACCATATGTTTTATGAGCCACATCATCTTCACTTTCTGTAACAACTTTTCCTCCAAATTTGGATAACCCTATTTCCACCACTACACAAAACTTCTGAGTGTGCCCCAACCACATTTTCCCATTAGCTCTGCTGCTTTTACTACATGATTTTGCAGGACACGGTGAATCTGAAGAACATACATGTTGTATTACAACAGCACCGGCTATAATTTCGCCATGTCCTACACTTACCCTACCACAGTCCTCAATCAAACATTATGTATTACCAATTAACATTGGTAATGTTTTAATTGCTAAGCCATTTTTTTCTTTCCTCCTCTAAACCAGTGCTATCCAAAACAACTTTGAGGTGATGGAAATATTGATTTTGTGGTCTCCAGTATGGTAGCCACTGGGCACAAGTGGCTCTTGAGCACTTGAAAGGTGACTAATGCAACTGAGAAACTGAATTTTTAATCTGAATTAAATCTAAAAAGCCAGAGGCAACTAGTGGCTACCTGTTAGAGTAGTCCCTAAATCTATTCCAAAAATCAAGCCCAGCTCTTATTTTCTCACTTCAATTTTGTAAAGTAGTTGATTGAAAATAAGCAGGGATGAAGAAAATGTTGTAAAGACTGGATATCTAATGTTCTATCACATAAAACCTGTTTCTATAACGATAGCTGCCATTTACATTTACCATAGCTACATGCCAGGCATTGAGATAAGAATTTTATTAATACTACTGTTATTACTTTATTTGATCTTCATAACAATGCTCTGAAGTCATTACTGTTAAATACACTTCACATGTAAGGAAGTGAGTGCCCATGAGGTTTTATGACGCACTTAGCATGCCCCCCATCTCCGCTACTGCATGGATCCCTTTACTCCTCCTTCCGCCTCTAACTTTGTCCTTGACACAATGCATCAGCTCACAAATTGGAATTAGAGTGGTCTTTCAAATAAACATTTCCAATCATTCTCCCCCATTCCTCCCAGGCCTACTCTCCCCAACCTTTAATTTCCTTTAACTTGCCATTATAAAGTAGGGAGCCCAGAATCCTACCGGCTACCTTCTCTTCACAGCAGCCCTTTAGAATAAGGTAGTTTAAAAATTATTGACCGACAGAATAAATTCTAGATCTTCGTTAGCTGGCCCCTACCCTTCGGGTTCTACTTCTTATGACTCCCTCCCTTCTTCCTTCAGGATTAATGCTGCAGCTTTATGCTGTCTGCAATGCCCACCACGTCTTTTTTTGTCAAATACTTATACCTTATTCACAAACCAGCCACAGATTCCTTTATTCATTCATCAAACAAATGGTGCCACCATGTGAGAGGCCCAACTCAGGTTGCTGAGGGTCTAACAGTGAACAGTGCTATTTTAGAAAGTCAAGTCTTTTAGGAACGGCATTTTGATAAGCCTATTACAGCCACTCTTGTTGTTTATAACCCAACTCCTATTCAATTCCAACTTACCTACCAAAATTCCAATTTTTAAATTTGATAAACTATAAACTTTAGATCCCAAACTGGCCATTTTTTTTTTAAAGATTTTATTTATTTATTTGACAGAGACAGAGACAGAGAGAGCAGGAACACAAGCAGCGGGAGTGGGACAGGGAAAAGCAGCCTTCCTGCTGAGCAGGGAGCCTGATGTGGGGCTCGATCCCAGGACCCTGGGACCATGACCTGAGCCGAAGGCAGGCGCTTAACGACTGAGCCACCCAGGCGCCCCCAAACTGGCCATTTTAATATTTTCACTTTTCAAAAACAAAATAAAACTAACTCAGACATACCCCTTCTTCAGACAAACAAGCAAGACGATCTACGAGTTCCGGGTTAGCAGTCAGGCTCTTTACATATTCTTCACCTGAAAAATAAGTTTTGTTCTTGATAAAGTGTTTTCTTTTTTTTTAAACCCGTATCTGTTGATGTGGTCACGTCAAAGCAGAAGTATTGGGTCAAGCATATCTATGAGTTTTTTGGGGTTTTTTTTAAGATTTTATTTGTTTGACAGAGAGAGAGAGAGCACAAGCAGGGGGAGGAGCAGGCAGAGGGAGAAGCAGGATCCCTGCTGAGCAAGAAGGCTGATGCGGGGCTCGATCCCAGGACCGTGAGATCATGACCTGAGCCAAAGGCAGATGCTTAACCGTCTAGCCACCCAGGCGTCCTTCTATGAGTTTTTATTGCTAAGCCAATTTCAATTAACAGCCACAGGGAACTACAACTTACTTGGCTGAGAAATGCTGAGAAATTTAAAAATGCAAACGTCAGCTGGCGTTATATAGGAATATGAAAGTATTAAATGTTCAAGTGAACATCTGACCAAGGGCCTAATGGCAGTTCCTATGTGTGGAAGCATATAAAAATTAACAGCTTTTACATTTAGACTTACAAGTGAAAGCTGGTATTCCTTCTTCTATGGCTTTTTCTTTGTTTTTTTTGTCATTTGTTATGAAGATGACTTGTAGATGATTTTCTGCTGACATTTTCTTCAAATGTTCATTGTACCATTTTGCTGCTACTCGAATGGCTCGATCATTCCTGTCATTAGCATTTTCTCCCTGTTCTTGTTCTACATAAGTTTCTCTAAATATAAAAAAAGTAATAAATAAAAATCAATAGAAATAAGAATATATAAAAAGTCTTTGAACATAAATGCTTAACAACCACTAAACTATAATAAAACTTCACAGGCTTGATAGTAAGATTTTATTTGAACTGCAGATTAATGGTAATTCCCAAAAGCTACAAATAGAATGATTAATGATATGATTCTATAGTTATCAAATACACAATACGTGTAAATCAGCAGTGGTAAACACTCAGTAAATGACAGAACTTATCTAGAGACTGAAAGACCACATACAAATAATGACTGCATATTCCTTCATAGTCTATCCACTCTGAAGTCCTGAATATGTCAGCATACTTACTTCCTTAAGTTGATTTTTCAAAGCCAAATTTAAGTAAAATTAACAAAATTCGGTACAAAAACTTTTAGCGCTTAAGAGATTCAACTTTAGAATCTTACACTTATTTATACTAATAGTTTTTAGAACAGCTTCATTCCTCACCATTAAATGCCTTCGTTAATGCTTTAAGCTTAACAGTCAGACACTATCATTAAATTCTGAATTGGTTTTAGCAGTGACTTGAGCAATACAATCTTGGATGAGATTTGCCCAAGTGTCCTTCAATGCCAGTATTGCTAAGCTCTATTCATTGCACTTAAGCAGAAAAATTGCTAACCTCTCATTAAAACTCTGATGATAATGCTCCACAAAAACTTGGTCTTTCTGCACTGAAAAACAAGTTTCTGTTTCTGAATTTCAAGAAGCTAGGAATAAGATGACAAGTGCTTTACCAATGATTTTTACAAGAATAATATTTAAATTTGGGCTATAGAAATGAGAATACTTAAAAAATTAAGTATTTTTAAATATGCATATTCCAATGAGATTTCATTACCAGAATTCTACTGTCTAATCCACTGGGGGTGATTTACTGCTCAGGAACATTTGACAATGTCTGGAGACATTTTGGGTTGTTACAACTCTGTGGGTGGGGGAAGATGGGGTTGCTAAGGGCATGTAGTGAGTAGAACAAGATGCTGCTAAACATCCTATGATGTATAAGACAGCCTGCCCACAACAAATTATTATTCATTCCAAAATGTAAATAGTACCAAAGTTGAGAAGCCCTAATTTAACATAATAAAGATATACTAGAACTCAACAGAGATAATTTATGTAACACGTGAAATAGCAATATATTTTCTAAGACCACACATTATGTTCAAAGGGTGTCAATCTGAAACACAACAAAGAATTCTATTTCTTAACCCTATCTTCTTCAATATGATCAGTTACAAAGTATTGTTTAGCTTTTAAAAGCCCATTAATAATAAATCTGCTTTATATTTTTAAACCTCTTTCATAAACTCTTACATTTTATCAATTTATGTTGGTCATCAAATAATATGGTATTCCAGGAACCTAGGAAAATCTTTTTCCAAAATGTTATTGCTCAACTCATGCTGAAAGGAATTCAAAATGAAAACATTTTAGAAACAAAAGTACCCACAGTAGCCTGAGGGTCTGGAGACCTTGGTTCTAGGTTTGATCTAATCAATGCCTATGTACCTTAGGTACACTGAGGATTATGTCTGTAGAACTGTGTAACAACCAAATAATCCTCCCATAGGTACGAAACTTACCTTGCACCTTCTGACAATGTCACAATTACTGCCAGGAACCCTTCCCCAAATTTAGCTAATTCTATGGTTTTCCGGTAATTACCATAATTTTCCCCCTACCTATGGTGCTCATTAGTGAAGGTGTAGAAATGCTTCTCCTGGTTATTAGTCACATCTCTGATTCGTTTATATACCGGAGCACTCCGATTTCTCACTTCTTGCAGAACTGTTTGTAGTACAATCACATTCCTGATGGCAGGGTCCTCAAGAACATCGATCTTAAAAAATAATAAGGAAAGAAAACTTAAATTTTCCTATGTTTATTGATAAATTGTTTCTGCCAAACAAAACCCTGTCGATTTAAAAAAAAAAAAAAAGAACCAACACCTCGTATACATTAAACTAAGGAGCTATTTTGCTACAGAAAACCCTTCAGGTCTATTAGAGAAGAGTACATATAAACAGACTAATTACAAAACTTCGTAGAATTAAGTCCACTAATAATGAAATACGTTGGCCCACACAGTTTTCATTCGTAGGCACTTACAAGCTGCCTGGGAGTCGCAGGCTGGAGGCCACAGAAGCCCAGGTCCCCGGCCTCCAGACACTTAAAATCTAAGGCAGAAGAGACACCAGGAGTTAGAAAACTAATCTAAAATTCTTATGACTCCAAGAACTCAAAAAAAAAACCAAAACAAACAAACAAAGAAAAGAAACTTGGCCTGGAAGACAGGAGGCAAGGGTCCCGAGATGGGGTTTGCCTCTCCCTAAGTACGTCCAAGACTCTCCTCCGTGGGCCTCAGTTTCCCTATTCTGTCACACCCCCTTCTCCCGGTAGTGCCAAGATGACCACGGACAGCCCCTCCACCGACGCACCTGGTGCAACAGCACGTTGGTGTCGGGAAGCAAGTAATGCGGCTGCGGGCACAGGCTGCTCGCAGGATCCAGGGGCTGCGGCTCAAGGACCGGCCCCTCGTGCGCACCGTCGCACGCCGCGCACCCGGGCGCGCCGCAGCCGATGTCGTCCCGCAGGTAATGCTCGCGCACGATCTTCATCACGCCGCCCGCCCGCGTTTTTTTTAAGAAAGTCTTGGACTTGAGCATCTTGCTTGCAGTGCGAAATCCCGACCCTGACCGCGCTCTTCCGGTGAAAAGTGCCAAGTAGAAGCCCTGCGGCACAACTATACTTTACCCCGAAGTTCACCCTTTCCCGCTCCAAGGTATTAATAAATACCTTGCGCGGGAAAACGTCGAGGCTGACGTTTGTTGGCTCTCTGAGGGCTGCGAGTATTGGGCGAAAATGAGGCGGATGGGCGGAGCCCAGAGCTAGTTCCATCCAGGATCGGGGCGGGGCTCGCCTCTGGACTACAGCTCCCAGCATGCACTGCTTCCTGCGTTGGGGGTGGATCCAGGCTGAGTTCCGGCGGCGTGGGCGATTGCACGCTGCCGCTTCCGCCGTCCTCCCACGGGCGCGGAAGTGGTTGTCTTGGTTACGGGTTCTTAACGGTCCCCAATCTGAAATTGTTGAGGAGCTGCAACCTGAGCTTCCGTTTGGGGATGCTTTCAACTCCATGGAGAAGCGACGGTGGTGGCTGGTCCAGCCTTAGACGTGGAGTAGTTGAAGCTTTCGAGGTAGCTCGCGGCTATCCCTTCCTTTCCCACGCAGGGCAGGGACTCCTACACTGCTGAGTTTGGCTTCTTTACTCCGCACGTGTGGGCAGCTCCAGCCCCCGATCCTTTGTAATCCAGATGTTGCCTCTCTCTGATTTCACCTTTACCTTTTCCCTTTGAGAGGGATGCCGTTTCCCCTCCACACGCCTTTCTAATCATTTAGTTTGGAAAAGCTGGTATCTGCAATACCGCAAATAACTTATTATGTCATGTAGTATTAAAAGAAGAGAATTGCTAAAATTCTTGTGAAAGGGTAAGAAGTTCGATTTAGAATACTTGAGTTTATTTCTTCTACGTTCTTGTTTTCATTTTATCTGGAAGTCCATTGGAATATTTTTATTTCACTGTTTACCTTTTTAAAAAATCTTCAGTGATGCCTCATTGCCCGTAGAATAAATTTCGAACGCATTTTGACATTCATGGCTCTCGAAGTCTTGATTATTAAGGTTGTATGTGTGTATGTGTATGAGGGATAGGGCGAGTCCTACTCAAAATCACGAAGGCTTGGCCCCAGCGGGACTACAACTATCTTCTGCTATTGTGCATTTTCACCACCTCTGTACCAACCCTAATTCTTGCATGCTTTTTTCTTGTTGCTACTCTAAATCCTTCAAGATTCTAAGTAGACAAAACCTTGTGATCAACTCAGAATTGATTTCTCTAAGCTCGAACACGTGCTGCTTTTCGTTCCTGGATACTACTGACTAGGGCTTTTATCCTTTACCTCGAACAATTTCTTTGTTTCCCACAAGTAAGATTCCTGTCCCCAGGAACTGGGCTTTTTATTCATCAAGGGCAAATTCATAGTAGGATTTAATGAGCTTGATTTAATATGTCTGATTTGAGCAGTAATTTACTAATCTGTCCTAGACGAGGGGTCCTCCAGATTGCCTGATAACTACTTAGGCATTCATTAGTATCTCTTTAACATACTTATGCTTTCCATAGAGAATGTGTGAATACATTTAATATTTTTAACCCACAGAAAATTGAAATTGAATTGGAGAAGAAAACTGAGCCATAACAACAACAACAAAAAATGTCTCGAAAAATTGCCAGGGCATCAAAAAAAGTGAATATCTCTAGCTCTCTGGAATCTGAAGATATTAGTTTAGAAACAACAGTTCCTACGGATGATATTTCATCATCGGAAGAGCGAGATGGTAAAATCAAAATCACCCAGCAACTAATCGAACGTAAAGAACTTCTTCATAATATTCAGTTACTGAAAATAGAGCTGTCCCAGAAAGATATGATGATAGACAACTTGAAAGTGGATTATCTTACGAAGGTAAGATTAGGTGTAATTTTTGTTATTTTTATGCTTTATTGTCTCCAAACTGCAGATAAATAAGAATTAAAATTATATATATGTAATCTGACCTTGAATGATACGTTTATCATTTCAAAAAGAAAATTATATTTTCTTGCATAGTTGAAAAAAACTTTTTGGAAGGAGAGGAGGAGTGAATTATACTTCTGTGTATTAAATAAAAAGTCCTGAAAGAGGCGATGATTTGAAGTTGGGCAGAGATGAATTGCTTCTGTAGGCTCAGTTTTTAAAATCTAGCATGTGTGAGATATCTTTTTAGGTGTTTTTTTTCCAGCCAAGATGTGTTCTGCTTCATTGGGAATTAACCCTGATGTGACTAGTTTGATAGGGAGAATCAAGATCATAATTATATTATTAGTCTGTATAGTCCTCTGCCCTGGAGATTCAGTTTCTTTGGTATCTCTGTTTGACAGTTATTCGTATTCCTGAGTTTATGACACCTAATCATCATTGATCCTTGCCACGGCCACTTTTTATTTTGTATATTTATTCTTTTTATTCCCGTAGCTCATTTCCCTTCTTCTCTCTCTCGATCAACTATTTTTTTTAAGATTTTATTTATTTATTTGAGAGAGAGGGAGGAGAAAGAGAACACGAGCGGGGTTGGGATGCAGAGGGAGAGGGAGAAGCAAACTCTCCACTGAGCAGGGAGCCCAACACGGGGCTCAGTCCCAGGACCCGGGGATCAGGACCTGAGCCAAAGGCAGACACTTAACCAACTGAGCCACCCAGGCGCCCTTCTATTAACTATTTTAAATTTTTTTTTTTTACATTTGTTCTTGAAAATGGGTATTTTTCTTATTTTTTCCTTTACATAAATGTAAATTGCATGTTTTGTTTTAGAGTTTATCTCTTTTATAGCTGTTTTTTTTCCCCATCTCCGGGATGTTTTTGAAATCATTAATGTTACTGTGTATGTCTCGTCTTCTGCTTCTAACTTCTATGTAATTCTCTGTGTGTGTGTGTGTGTGTGTGTCTACCAATCTATTCATCCACTACCGCAGAGGTAGGCACCTAGATTGCCTCCCAATTCTCTGCCACCACATGCAACATGGGCCTTCTGTAGGCATTTCTCTTTTGGACCTGTGTGGACATCTTCTTTGACATGTATACTCAGGAATAGAATTTCTGGCTCATAGGGTATATACATACTTAATTAAACTGAGTGTACTGTCAAATTACTCTCCAGAATAGCTGCGTACTCTACATTCCCATGGTTTTTGGTCCATGAGCACTAGGGTTGTTTTGCTTAGAGACCCCTTGGGAGTAAGATGTTTGCTGTCAGATATATGGAGGAATATTATACAGTAAAGGATTAGTCTTTCATAATTCATCAAATCGAAGGCAGCTTGATTGTAAAGTGGACCATTACTTGTATCACTGAGATTAAAAACTGCCAAGTTAAACCGTTATGTGCTATAGATTGTAAGATGCATTCCAGTTTCAGAGATGTAAAATGTGAAAAAGTGAGAGTCTGGGATCAGTGAAGGAACAGAATTTTTAGACATTTATTTTCCAGAGCTTACCAGTATATTGAGCATTGGGGGTACAAGGATGAAAATATCATTTTCTAGCATTATTTTTTTATTAGTTTCAGAGGTAGAGTTTAGTGATTCATCCGTTGCATATAACACCAAGTGCTCATTACATCAAGTGCCCTCCTTAATGTCCATCACCCAGTTACCCCATTCCCCCACCTACCTCCCCCTCCAGCAACCCTTAGTTTGTTTCCTATAGTTAGGAGTCTCTTATGGTTTGCCTCCCTTTCTGTTTTCACTTTATTTTATTTTTCCCTCCCTTCCACTGTAATCCTGTTTTGTTTCTTAAATTCCACATATGAGTGAAATCATATGATAATTGTCTTTCTTGGATTGATTTATTTCACTTAGCATAATACCCTCTGGTTCCCTCCACATCATTGCAAATGGCAAGATTTCATTTTTTGATGGCTGAGTAATATTCCATTGTGTGTGTGCCACATGTGGCATTATTAAAAATAAATTTCCCTTACTCGACTATAGATAATAAAAGTCACAGGAAAAGTAGATTTCTGCTGACTATAAACCTTTCTTGCTATTAACATTTAAATGGCCTGATTTAAGTTACTTAGCTTCCTGTCATTGGAAGCATTCTATAGTCCTGAGTGGTCAAGTGTCATGATACATTATAGGTATTTTTGCTGTGGAAAGAGGTTGAACTAGCTGTGCAGTGTTCTGGGGATGAAGTTCAGTTGCTAGTACCAAAGGCTTAGAAAATGGTGGCTGCCTGTAACACAGGAGAAGGATTTTATTTCTCTTGTGTAACAGGAATCTGAAAGTAGGTAATTTAGATTTGGGGTGGTTACTCCTTGATATTGTTAGGAACCCAGGCTCCTTTTAACCTTCTGCACAGCTGTTTTAAGCATGTGCTTTTCATCTCAAAGTCAGAGATGGCTGATCTACCTCCAGTATTGTATCCATGTTACAGGCAGAGGATGAGGAGAAGGATAATGGGAAAATGGGACACATGCCAAAAGACTCATTCTCTTTTATGTACTTCTATTTTTTTAAGATTTTATTTATTTATTTATTTATTTGAAGGAGAGAGAGAGTGCGCATGCTACCAGGGGGAGGGTCAGAGGGGGAAGGAGCAGGAGAGGGAGAGAGAATCTGAGGCAGACTACCGGCTAAGTGCAGAGCTCCACGCGGGGCTAGATCTCACTATTGTCAGATCAGGACCTGAGCTGAAACCAAGAGTCAGACACTTAACCAGCTGAGCCACCCAGAAGCCCCAGGACTCATTCCCTTTTAAAGAGCTTTCCCAGAAGCTCAAGCCAGTGGCCTCAGTAAACTAGAACTATATAGCATGACCACCTTAGCTGCAAGGAGTGGAAAGCTGGGAAATGTAAATATTTAACTGGATACATTATTGTCACTAATAAAAATCAGAGTTACATTAGATAGAAGAGAAGACAGTGTTGGGAGACGAGTAGCAATTTTTTTTGTTCTATTCATCACAGTCTTTTTATTTTTTGTTATTATTTTTTTTAAAGATTTTATTTATTTGACAGAGAGAGACACAGTGAAAGAGGGAACAGAAGCAGGGGGAGTGGGAGAGGGAGAAGCAGGCTTCCCAAAGAGCAGGGAGCCCAGGGCGGGGCTCAATGTGGGGCTCGATCCCAGGACCCTGGATCATGACCTGAGCTGAAGGCAGACGCTTAACAACTGAGCCATGCAGGCGTCCCCATCACAGTCT